CTACTATCTTGTAATAACAATAATATCTTATTAATAAAATACAAACATAAATATCTCTTAAAATAATCTATTGCCAGAGGAATTATCCACACGCTTCCTAACCCATATAAACTTTTAACTCTAACCTAATTATTAATTAATTACTATCTTACCAGGGGGACACCTTTGATAAGTATAGTGTGTGTGTATTCTCTTTTAATTTTATTTTCTTTATTTTTATTTTAGATTAGGCCAACGCCTAAACAAGTGGAAACCCTAGCTAGGTGCGGTCAGTTAAGAAACACTGAACCATAAAAACACAACACATCAGTATCAAGGAGGATACTGGGATTATTATCAGAAGAGATAATAATTGACACGTTCTGGCTCAGGTAACAAACATAGCAACTGCTGAGAAAACATTACCGGAAGGGAAGTAAGAAAACTTGCCCTGCAAATAATTAAATAGCTTGAGTGCTATAGCAAGAGAAGTAATCAAAAAATTACATAACTGGATACTGCCAGAAAACGGCATAAATAATATTTTAACCAAATCCAGGAGATTTGTGTGAGATGCGGAAATTTGATCTCACAATATATATATTAAAATTATCTATCAGGATAATATAATATATGTTAAATTGCAAAAATGTCATCTCATATTGTTTAGTCCCATATAATTCAGAAGTTTATGACCAGTCAATAAAGCTCTCGCCATGATTTTCTCGTTTTTTCTCTTCCTTTAAAGATTGTTTACATTTATTAACAAAAGGATCTGCATAAATTTAGCCAATCAAATTTTCTTCTAAAGAAATTCCAGAACGTTTATCATTTATAAATTAGGAAATACCAAATTTAGCATATTCCCTGACTGTATTATATACAGTCAGGGATATTTCCATATTGGGATTCGATTCCAGAATAGTCTGCTGATCAATTCATCAAATTGGTGCAACATACTTTGTAACAATTTAGAAAAGATTGGCAATATTTTGGTAATATCTAGGGGTAAGTAAATATATGGGGGGACAACTCAATGTTACACATATAGATATTTGCAGATCTTCCAATTCCAAAACTGTCTCCACTCCTAAATTAAAAAGTCATATGTTTCATAGTAAAAAAGAGAACTTTACATAGAAAACTTTACACACAAGAGTTTTTGAACAGCCAATGCAAAAAAATTACTGTATTCTCCCGAATATAAGCAACAGTAAGAATTTGCAACTAAAAAACAGAAAAAATAGAAAAATAAATATAAGCAACACCTATATTTTTGAAAATTTTTTATTTGATTTCTTATTTTTATATAATAAATAAAAAAATAAGAAAATTTTTTTATTTTGATTATTCTTTTTCAGAATCACCAGACTCTTCCCCTTCTAATTCATCAGCTGAATCATCGTTTCTATCTAGTATTTCACATTCATCTTCCTCATCTTCATTTTCATCCCCATAAGCTTGTCCAAACAAATGATCTTCCGATCCATCAATTGCATTACTAATGCCACACTTTTTAAATGATTTCACAATCATTTCATTCGGAATTTCATCCCAAACCTCCAAAATCCATTTACAAATGACATTATGTTCAGGCTTTCTTAAATTTCCGTTATTGGTATAGGTGAAATTACCTGAACTCATCCAAGTATTCCACTTTTCACGAAGTCTATCTTTAAATGGTTTGTTAATACAAACATCAAGTGGTTGAACAACAGAGGTAAGACCACCTGGAATGATTGCTAAATCAGTGTTTTCATTTTGTGCAATTTTTTTGATAGAATCTGTCTTGTGGCCTTCAAAGCTATCCATAACAAGTAAAGCTTTTTTTCTTGTAATTCTATTTCCAGGTCTTCTTTTCCAAACCTTATCAAACCAAGCTTTCATTCCAATTTCATCCATCCATCCTTTTGGGTACATTAGTACAATGATTTGAGAAGGTAAATTCTTTGGCATTCATTTACCTTTAAAAATGACAATTATTATTACAATGATTTGATGAGAAGGTAAATTCTTTGTAATTTAATTACCTTTGAAAATAACAATTGGTGGTAATTTTGTACCATCTGCAAGAATTGTAAGGACACATGTAAAACGGTTTTTATCATTTCCAGTTGTTCGAACTTGCACAGTTTTTGCACCACATTTATCAATTGTTAAATTTCCAACCATATCAAAATAAACAGGAGTTTCATCCATATTTCCAATTTCTGAAAGTTCGTATTCAAATTGTTTTTGTTTTTTTATAATAAATTGTTGAAATTCGAGAAGTTTGATGTCAAGGTGAGCGGGAAGCTTCTGACCAATCTTTGTTTTACGTCTCATTGCAAAATCATACCTTCTAAGAAAGCGATAGAACCAATTTTCTGATGCAAGAAATTTTTCACTGGCACCTGGATAAATATTAGAAAATTGGTTTGCTAAAAGTTCTTTCATGTAAGTTTTAACAATTTTAGGAGTTACAGCAATTCCATCTTGCCGAAATTCAACAATCCATGCCTTTAATTCAGCTTCAGCCTCAGGATATTTTGCTTTTCTTCCTAAATTATTACCAATTCATCTTCTCTTTTTTTGTTTTACTAAATCGAGTTCTTCCTCTTGTTTTTGCCAATGAGAAATCATTGAAGGATCAATAGTAAAATGACGCCCAGCTGATCTTAAACCATATTGTTTTGCATATTGTAAAACTTGGAGCTTTTCAGCAACAGAATATGAAGAACGTTTGACTTTTGGCATTGCGTGGGAAAAAAATGAATAAAACTTAACACAAATGATGAAATAAGGAAACATAATGTAACACAAACAAAATCTCCCGAATATAAGCAACACCTGCAGTTTTGTTGACTAAAATGTGTTAAAATGGTGTTGCTTATATTTGGGAGAATACAGTAAGTTATTATTGTTGAAAGCTTTATACTTCTCAAATTTTCTCTTGATCGGGCTCAAAATGACATTGTTGATTGTTAATTACCAAGAAACATATATTATATATAAGATTAATGACAATTATATTCATTTTACTTCTGTTTGCAAACA